GTGGGCAGACCACTTTCCCTCTCTAACCATCGGGATGTTCTATGATGTCGCCGTGAGGCATGGGCCGTTCTGGGGAAACAGGGCCCACGAGTTACTGGAGGTCATCCATATCCTGATATTTCGTGCGCCCTGGCTAGACCAGACAGGGCACGAACGCATAATCCAAAGGGAAATCGAGATAGGAGAGAGCTATTTGGCAGGGGTGGATGAGCTATTCGAGGAGCCGACCGAACCGGAAGAACCACGAGGGCGCGAGCGGGACTAGGATCCGCAGGCAGGCCAATAGGGCAGATCCAGTATAGTTCGCTGCGTACGGAAATCCGTCAATGGGAATAAGAAAGGGGCCTCGGACCCGGATGGCTAAAACCCATTAGGAAAACAAAGAAGGGGGTAAGCTCCTAATGATTGACCATAACCCTGAAGGTCAAAAATAGGAAACACTGCTTGGAAAGACTTTCCTTAGCAGAATGCCTAACCCGGACTCCCTCGCATCGGCCCGACGGGACAAGGGCACGACAAACAGGCTTGTGATAAAGGGAGCCAAATCACGCTCATAGCTCGCCTGAGCGGCAAGGCCAGTCGTGGCTCCTCCTTAAGGAAGGGCAATCAGGAAACGAGGATGGGAAAGGAGGCTATACAGATAAGCCAACAGGACTGGGAGCCTAGGAAACCTAAACTGCCTCGCATTGCATGTGTCCTGGGAATTCTTTGGCTTATGCAGAACTAGGCGAAATGGCAACGGAGGAGGAAACAGATAATCATAAGAGTGAAGAAGAACCGGGCTTAGGAGGCAGTGCCGCACAAAGCGAAGGGGGGCAGAAGGACAGAGAATCGATAAATCCGGATGGTACCAAAGGGAACGGGAAGGAGATCTCCATAGGGGAAAGCTCGAGGAAAGTTGGGGGAAGCAGGCAGGGGACTCAGGGGACCAAGGAAGGCAGGAATAAGGATAGGACAAGCCCCGGAAACTTGGAAGGAGCCGTGTCTAAGAAAGTAAGAGTCACGGATACGAGGCGCAGACTAGCCGAGATAGACAAAAGGACTGTGGAATACAAGGCGAGATTGATTGAGGAAATGATGACTGGGAACGAAGAAGGTTCTCTGCAGGAGGAACCCCGGGACGAACGGAGAACCGGTCGAGGTTGTACTGGACAAGGGGATAAAGGTAGTGACCGTGGGGGAACGCCGAGCAAAAGAAGGAAAGAAGGGGAGAACTCTCCGGGGATGGACGCGGAAAAGGCTACGACCCCGCCAGCCATAGATAGTACGGCTAGCCGTCTGCCGACCACGCCAGCAGTGACGCGAGGGTGCGAAGGACTCTGGAGCCTTAGGAAAAGAGTGTTGGGATGGTTTGACCCAGAAGGAACTACGGAAACCAGGGAGGGACAGAAGGCCGGCAAGGAAGGTCCGGATAACAGTGTGACAGGCGAGGCCAGCAGCTCCGAGGGCGGCCTTAAGAAGATAGTGTCGTCCCTCGCGTGAGCACTAAACAAAAATCAAGGCTACCTAGCGGATGCCAAGAAAAAGTTGACGTTTGATGGGGCGAACATGACGCAATTCCAGATAGATTACGAGAACCTGGTTGCGCTGTTGAAATGGACCGAAGAGGAGAAGATGGACCACCTGGGACAGCATGTGTCTTTGAGCCTAGGACGGGACATAATGACCATCGTAGCCGCAAGCCGGACTTGGAAAGGAACCCGGGATGTGATGATGAGAAAGTATCTGGCAGCAGAAAAGATGGCAACGAAGAGCGATTTAGCGACAGTCCAGAGAAAGAACTTCGCAACGTACAATGATTTTCTACGGGAGTTTACTTTGGTAGCACTAAGAATCCTCGGGGTTACGGATCGAATAATGAGTAAGTATTTCCTCAGACAGTTCTCCGAGTTCGACAAGGACAAGATCCTGTCGACTTACCAACAGACGAGAAAATTTGTAAACACCAGGGATGTTGATTTCAGTACGGTAACGGATCTGGCCGAAAAGACGGTAGTGACCGAGACATTGGCCTTGCTTAAGGAAGGGGAGATCATAGATTTGACCAGTAGGATGGGCGACAAGGTGAAAAATGGGATTGAAAGCCTACACGAACGGGTGCACGGAGTCGCCAACAAGATTGAAAGGATGGAAAGCGCGCTACTAGTTATGCAGGCGCAAGTATCCCTTCCCCCCCTCCCGCCCCAGGAAGCAGTAGTTCCGCTAGGGGTCACCAATCGTGGATTCGGACGGAGAGATCCCGCTAACGAGCAATGCAAGTACTGTACCGCGATAGTACATTATGTGCGCGTTTGCCCAAAGCTCAAACATGATATTCTGAAAAGAAGGTGTACCAGGTCATTAAAGGGGGAGATATTTGGACCACAAGGGGAATGGGTGAACTGGAACTCACCAGGAGGGATGCGGCGAGTCATTATCATGCACAACGGGCTGGAAATAACAGTCGTAGAAGCCAAACCAGTGGGCGAGATCAGTTGGGATCAACGCCAGGGGCGCGGGCCGCAGGTCAATTTCATTTTGGAAAACGACGAATATGATAGGGTGAACGCGACTACTCGGCTAGGGATGGTTGGGAGAAGGATTAACCGTGACACCGTGATGGAGGAGGTTGCTGGAAGTTCGGAACCCCAGGCAGAGCCAGAGGCCGAGGAACCGGAAAAGATCTATGGGAAACCTAGGGAAGAGGAGCCTACAGACAAAGTTTCCGCTGCCAAGAAGAAGTTTAGGTACCAAATCCCGATCTTATCCTTACCTGAGATCGCTCACACCATTAGCAAGTTACTAGGGACCATGGTGTCGGTGTCTTTTCATACTATGCTGCAGGCTAGCCTTAGGTTGCTCAAAGGGCTTAGACAATTGTTGACCCGGCGGCGGGTAGAAATAGGCGACAACCCCGAACTACCTGAAGGGGAGAGGGAGGAGGAAGCTCCGCAAGAAGTAGCTAACCTTCAGAGGAGTCGCGGGGACTTGGGCGATCTCGATAAAGCTTTTGCAGACATTCATTTGAGTTTGCCCGACCGAGAGGGTGGCGAGGTCATGAGGTCACCTCCCGTGACAAATCTTAGCTTTCATGCACTGCCCGTAGGGAAGCTGAAAATCCAGATCGAGACTCATCATACCGACGCGTTAGTAGACGGGGGGGCAGAAATCACCCTCATAAGAAGAGATTTCGAAACGATCACGGGATGTACGGTAAACAAGGAAGTAACAGGGAGCATCCGGGGAGCTGGCAGGGAAATCCCGTTCGCTGGGTACGTCACGAAGTGTGTTGTAAAGGCAGGGGTCAGGGAATCAAGCTGGTCATTTCAATGGATGACCGTAATGGAGGAAATGGACCACGGCATAATCCTCGGGAGATCGTGGTGCGCGAACGTGGAGATGATAGGCATGCACTTTCACGATGGCTCATACATGGTAGACATAGAGGACCCGATGACCTGCCGGGGAGAGCTCCTCCGACTCCTTGGAACGGGAGAAGACCCCCCGAGGGGGAAATTGGCAACATGGTCGCCGTCATTCGAGGATAGTATGCGAAAAGGGGCTTTCGCACGAATGGAGAGTATGAGAGAAAGGGTAGAAATCATGATTGAGGAAGCGTTAAATAAGAAGGAGTGGATCAAGATGGGCCTTCCCCAGAAGAAGAGGAGGCAGGAGAACGAAGTCCTAGGTGTTATGGTAGCAGAAAAGGAGTCAGAGGTCGAACTTGGTGCTAGCCTGCCCAAACGGAAAGAAGTGCGCGTAGACATGCCGGAAATCGCACTCGAGATCCCCGATCTATTGCAACTCATCAAGGCCCTCAGATACCACAAGGTAGGAGTGGATTCGGCAGCCTTGGCCAAGTTCGAAAGAGAGGTGCAAAAGGGATATTGTCGGAATGGGAAATTAGTTAGCATTCAACCACGAGTCATAGAGGCGACGGGGGCAATTCCGGCTGTTCATTTTTTAGGAGAAAGATCCTGGAAGGAAGTGTCCGAAAGTACAAGCCGGTAGGGAAGAAAGCAAAACCGGTCTCGATCTTGCTAGAGACATCAAAGGAAGAGGCTATGGAGAAGGAGGAAGAGGTCCTTCGAGTGATCCGAGAAAGAAGGGCGACGGAGGGACATCAGATACCAGATGATGTAGCGAACACAATGAAGATAGGGATAGACGGATTCTTAACGGAAGAAGAAAACCGCCTGATCAAAAGGACCTGCCAGGAATTTCATCTGACGTTTACCTTTAGTGATCACCAGAAGGGACGACTGGATGCGAAATTGATCCCTCCGGTCAGAATCCACACGGTAGAACATGAGTGCTGGAATGACAAGGGACCATCCTATGAATTTGGGATAGCGGGAGAGGTAACAGACCTCCTCCGAGCAAAGATGGACTCCTTCGTTGCGGAGCCTACGACATCGCCATACGCAAATCGGTGGTTCGTCTTTCGGAAGCCTAACAAGACACTAAGGTGGATTCAGGACCTGCAGAAGTTGAATGCGGTAACCATCCAGGATGCTGGCTCGCTACCTCAGGCTGACTTATTAGCAGAATCACACGCCGGTCGGAGCATTTACTCCCTGATAGATCTGTACTCAGGGTACGACCAGCTTCCATTGGATGTTCGGGACAGGCCATACACCGCTATGCACACCTCCGTAGGCCAGCTACAGATGCAGGTGACACCTATGGGATTCACAAACGCAGTGGCCGAAGCGCAACGCAGGATGCTCGCCGTGGCTGGGGACATGTTCCCAGAAAAATGTGAACCTTACATCGATGACAATCCAATCAAAGGCGCGCAGGAAAAGGACGAGATGGAAGTCCAGCGCGGAATCCGACGTCTTGTGTGGGACCACTTGCAAGACATCAAGGACTTACTCCGCTGGTTCCTAGTATACAACATTACGGCTAGTGGACCAAAGAGTATCCTAGCAGTACCGGAGGTGACTATACTAGGATTTCGTTGCGGTGCTTACGGCAGGAAGCCGGATCCGGCAAAGACCGACAAAATATCACAATGACCGACACCACTGCGCACGACGACGGAGGTAAGGGCATTCCTAGGCGTGGTCTGCTTTTGGAGGATCTTTATTAAGAACTTTGCCAAGATCGCTGAGCCTATCCGGGCTATGATTAGGGAAGAAAGAACCATGGATTGGACGGAGGAGCGGGAAGGAGCTGTCCAAAGACTCAAGGACATATTAACATCTGAGACAGTCGCCCTGTCCGCGCCTTGTTTTAATGACGAAGTAGGACGACCCTTCATCCAAGAGACGGGTGGAGGACCTTTGGCCGTAGGAGGTGTATTGATCCAAAGGGATGAGGGAGGAAAAGAGAGGCCGATTAGGTTTGAAAGTAGAACCCTAAACGGCGGTACTCGCAATTCAAGAAGGAAGTCCTAGCCATCCTGCATTGCCTTAAGACCTTCCAGGCCTACCTATTTGGGAGGCAGTTCATCTTAAGGATTGATCCGACGAATGTCGCAGGGGCCCTAAAGAATTACAGGCCTATAGATCCGATGGTAGGGAGATGGGTAGGATTCATCTGGCAGTTCGATTACAAGATCGAACGGATTGCTGGAATCCGCAACAAGGCAGATGGGCTGAGTCGGGTTTGCATCACTCCCGAAGGGATGGAGGATGCAGAGCCTATAGACGCCTTCCTCGAATACGAAGGAGGAACTCTTGCGGCGGATAACGAAATGATGAGCGAGGGACGCACATCGGGAGAACTATTGATCCAGACTTTGCAGAAGGGGGCACCTTCCGTAGTAGCTGAACTTAGGGAAGGACCAGTTACCACTCGAGGACGCAGAGAAGAAAAGGACTCATGGGGAGCGATAGTAGGACCGAAGGAGGAGCTGATAGCAATGACGGTCGAAGGGGGCAGGGAAGCAGTGATGAGCTTAGTGGAATCTTGGGAAAGGAAAGACTTGCAATGGGTGGTAAATCAGATGCAAGAAGGAAAGGATGGGGGCAAGGAAGGAGATAAGTTTTTCTGTGTCCAATCATATGAAGGGCTCTTTCGGGAGATCGGTTTGTTGTTGGTAGGAAACAAACAACCTACGGAAGTCAGTATTAAGGCAAGAGAAGAAGTCGAAAGGTACGTCCTAAGGGGCGAGCATTTGTTCCGGAGGGAGGAAGGTGCTATGCCCAGAAGGGTTGTGCGCGGAAGGTCTAGGCAAGTAAATGTTATCCAGGCAATGCACGACGGGTTAGCTGGAGGACATCGGTCTTCCAAAGGAACACTTGTAAAGATAACGCCGCTCTATTATTGGGCAGGTATGGCAGGCATGGTCGCCATATACTGTCGAACTTGTCTTATTTGCCAAGAACGAAGCTCGGTACGAGTCTTCGAGCCGCTTAGACCAACGCGGGTGCTAGGGCCGGGACATCTGGTCCACCTCGACCTTGCGGTCATGCCTGTATCAACGGATGGATACAAGTATATCCTAGATGCGTGAGACAACGTGAGTGGGATCGTGGAGGCAGTCGCCCTCAAGAAAAAGACAGGGAGGAGTGTGGCGGACTGGATAGAAGACTTCTACTTAAGGCACCCATTCGTCAGGAGGTTTATAGCAGACAATGAGACGAAATTTGTGAACCAAGAAGTATTGGAGATGCTTAAGAGACTCTACGTACCGATCAAACTCATCGAGCCATATCACCCTTAGGCCAATGCACCGGTGGAAAGGGGGCACCGAACCTTGAAGAACACGATTGCAAAGCTCGCAGCAGACCATCTGGGGAACTGGCCTAGGTATCTTAAGCAGGCTGTCTTTGCAGAGAATATGACTCCTAAAAGGACAACAGGATGCATCCCGGCAGAGCTTTGGTACGGAAGAGAGATCAACTTTCCTGTGGAAGCCTTGGTACCTACTTGGAATAGATTAGATGATGATCCGCAAATGACCACTAAAGAGTTAATCGAGGCAAAATGTCAACAGATCCTTAAGAATGAGGAGGTCGTGGAAGACATCGCCAGTCGGGTGCTGGACAGCAGAATGAGGGACAAAGCAAGGTGGGACCAGGTTAAGATTGTAAGAAAGGAGCCACTTCAGGTGCGGGAGATGGTATTGCTAAGGAACTCGACACTAGAAAATACTTGGTCGGGACAGTTGGGAAGGAGGTTCAAAGGCCCCTACCGGGTCGCTAAGCGGATGGGACTGAACACCTTCGAACTGGAAGATTTGGATGAAACTGGATTGAAAGGGCCCTTCCCGGGGCAACGACTGGTCAGGTTTCTAAGTCGGGACATAGTGGAACAATGGCTTCAGGAGGCCGAAGATAAGGAAACAGAGGAGCCACAAGCTAAAGACTAACCACAACCTCGCCCACACTATGGTTTGTCCCTGACAATGTTCGTGGGACTGTCATTTTTTTGGGACTGGTGTTTTGACTTGGACTGACTGAGGTTGAAAGGAAGCATGACTTGCGGGTTTGCAATATCCGGCTTGTGTCACAATGGGAAGGGATGTTTGGGGCATTGTACCATAGTTTTTTACGGGAAAAATATGGGGTCATCACAAACGACGCATTCGCATGTATAAAAAGGGCGTGATGGGATGGATACTGTGTGCATTTCTGGAATGTCTACCGGCCTAAGGGGAGGGGAGGCGTAAGTGTATGAGGGGCATTGCGGGTGTTGTTTTGTCATACAGGGCTTAGGAGTAAAACTTGAAAAGACAAAAATGGATTTCGGCAACGAGAACGATAGCGGGGCAATCAACAGGCCTACCGGAGAGGAAGAAGCTGGACCAAGCCAAGAGAGGAGGACAACGAAGAGAAAATTTGACATTGGGCTCATAGGCGGGCCAGTGGTAGGCAGGGGTGGAAGGAAATGTTTGTGTAGGAAACCCTCACCCCTCCGCAAGAGAGAAGGTATAGAAATATCATCTGGCAGTGAGGGCGAAAAGAGAAGGGTAAATATGGAAGAAGGAGGCAACACAGAAATGGGAGATAAGGCTCGGATCTCTAACGAGGAAGGGGCCAATAGGGGCGAACGACGTGAAACTTGGCATGGGGAAAGCGAGGGGGGACAAGGTATGCGTGACGAACGTGAGGAGGATGAGGAGAAAAGAGAGAGCCCGCTTGAAGGACGAAGCGATCACGGCAGTTGCGAGGGGTATGGGACGGGGACAGAGATCTCTTTTACCTACGATCCAAAGAACCTTGCTGGTGGGTATAACCCCATACAAACTGAAGACGAGGGGGACGAGGAGGAGGATGTGCGAGAAGTCATAGAAATCAGCAGCGGGATTGAGAGGGATGAGATCTCAAGGCCTAGGGAAGAGGGGCGGCCTCCGATGCACCAGCCAGGCGATGGGGCTTTCAGATGGGAGGACGAGTTCGGGCCAACGCCCAGTCACTGGTTTCAGCAATGGACCAATGTAATCAGGCACGAATGGATTGTCAAGACTCGGGCACCCGCAAGGGCAGGGGTGGAAGCCACACCACTGGATTTTTTCAACGAGGCTGAGTTGCATAAAATTGTAAGGATGAAAAGAGAGATCGAGACCTTCGGCCTGGGGGTTAGGAAGTCTGCCGAGGAACGGAGTGGAAAAGGAACTAGGCGAGACGAGGCGCAAGGCAGTAATAGGAACTAGGTGTTGGCTTAACATTGAAAAGGATCGCTGCTTTCTGTCTGCAGAGATATGAGAATGACGAGAACGTGTATAATATGGGCAAGCTTGCTACGGAGGAAGTGAAAAGAGGACCAGCTAAGGCTGTGTCACGCTAAAGTAAAAGATAGTTGTTGATGCTACTTTTGGATGAGCTACCTTGGGTACCTAAGACAAAGACATGGGATTTGGGATGAGACCAATTAGGAGAGGGCGTATTGTGAATTTTGGATGGAACAAGGATTATGCTTTTGAGAGAGGAAAACCTTGAGTACGGATTGACGAGCAAACCATGACATTGAATGTCTGGTCGAGTACAAGAGAGGTTAGGGAACCTATGGGTTAAGGGGCGTGAAGAACACTCATTTCCTAGGAGCCTAATCCAACTGAGTTATGAATGAGACTGAGAATAGCCGAAACCTGAAAGATCAGGAAGAGTGAAAATGGAAGGGGCGCTTTTGTCTTTTATTATGGATGAACGGCCGGGTGGGCTAGTGCTGCTTGGGGTCGCGAGCCCCAACTCGAGTGCTAGACGCTAAGTCGAGTGTATACAATGGATGGTACGTTACTGTGAGAAATGGAATAGATGGTACGTTAATGTGAGAAATGGAATGGATGGTACATTACTGTGAGAAATGGAGGGATGGTACGTTATTGTGAAAAATGGAATGGATGGTACATTACTGTGAGAAATGGAATGGATGGTACATTACTGTGAGAAATGGAATGGATGGTACACTACTGTGAGAAATGGAAGGAAGAGAACAGCACGCAAAAGATGAGATGACCACCTTCTAACCTCCAAGACAGAAATAGGATCCGTAACCTCGAGGCCCACCCCCTCGGGCACTAACATTGAAAATGGAAAAGAATGGCCTTAACCAGGCTGTTCGACTTAAGAATGGAAAGGAATGACCCTAACCAGGCTGTTCGACTTGAGAATGGAAAAGAATGACCCTAACCAGGCTGTTCGACTTGAGAATGGATAAGAACGACCCTAACTAGTTTGTTCGGGAATGACCCCTGACAAGGGTCATTCCTTTTGAAATAGGCACTGAGATCCCCTGCATATTGGATTGAGAAAGGTTGATTGAGAAAGGCTGATTGCGAATGTGTTGGAATGAGAGAGATGGAAAAGGCCGATGGGTCGGTCATTGAAAATAGCCAAAGGATGGATGAGAGAGATGGAAAAGGTCGGTGGGTCGGTCATTGAAATAGCCGATGGGATGAATGAAAGAGATGGGAAAGGCCGGTGGGACGGTCATTGAAATAGCCAATGGGATGAGAGAAATGGAAAAAGCCAGTTGGTCGGCCATTAAAAATAGCCAAAAGATGGATGAGAGAGGTGGAAAAGGCCGGTGGGTGGGTCATTGAAATTGCCAATGAGTTGAATGGAGGAAATGAAAAAGGTCGGTGGGTCGGCCACTGAAAATTGCCAAGGGGGCGGAAGGAAAATGCGAAAGAGAAGGACAAGATAAGGAAGGCGGAGCCTTAAAGCCGAGAAGGGCAGAGACCGTTGGGACGGTCACAAAAATTGGGTGTTGAGGAATGAGAAAATTGAGGATTGAGTGGGCGGAAGGGTCAGTCTTGAGAAATGGCTATTGAGAAAATAACCGCCAGAACGGCCGTGAGGGTGGCCTTGTTGATAAGAGGCTGTCAGACCAGCCATGAGAATCAACCTTGGAAGTAACATTGGATTGAATGATTGAGGATTGAATATTGCATTGCACAGGAAGGGGACCCTAGGCAACTTGAAATGAACTTGGAAATAGCATTGAAATGGATTTTCTCTTTTTCTAGTCTTTGGCCTCAGCAGGAGGGGGATACCGGTGCTCGCACCGCAACCCCAAGACCTCTATCCCTGTAAGGGAAAAAGTCTCAGCGCGACATGTTCCTCTTGTAAGGGGATGAGGGTTAAAGGACCAAGACACCTACCACTTGGATCGGTGCGGGACGTCCGGAACTGACCCCAACAACGAGCTCTAGTCGGGAAGTTCAAATTGCGCCTCGTGTTGAACGCCTAAACGTCAAGGGGTGAGGGAACCAAATGGGCGAGAGAGCTATTCTTTTTTTTTTTCTAGTCTTTTTTGTTCTCCCCAACCACACGCCATGTCGTTGAGGGGCGGCATGGCCGCTTGGAATGGACCACGGCGGCTCGCGTTAAGTTGAGCAGCACTGTCCAGAAGGGAGGAGTTGGGCGTGGTACCGGGTGGAAGCCACAACCACCACGGGGCGAGTGACACCGCCCCGCCGGAGCATTACAACCGCTTCGAGACTAATTCCGAGGTCTTCGTAACTGCACTCGTGGACTAATTGAGAGCCCCAACTCTCTTGAAAGGAAGAGGCCGGATCTTAGAAAACACCACCCGGGAGGAACGATTCGCGAGAAAGCCCTTGCGGCAAGACGGGGTTCTGGGAGGTTTTGGACTGGATCTGCCTGCCAGATATGAGGAGGTACCTCAATGATGACGCCTGTCTCGTAAGCGGCAAAAGGTCGGACAAGGTAGGGGATGAGGTGAGTTATCAGCAGGGGGAGGACTGATCACCCTTCCTTTTTGGGGCTGATGGGCCGGCATCCGCCTACTCGTTGGTGGACCAAGGTCTGCGTACCTCCGAGTGAGAACCAGTCGTGCGATGGGAACATTGCATTTTGAGTGGGGGGAAGGTGTGCCATCTACCAAAGAAAAAGCGGGCAAAAGAGAAGGGTACCATGAGCGTAAGAATGGATGAGTAATCGACTTTGCGCAGGCTTGAGAAAAAGTCTGGCAAGATGTCCAGAAGAAAAGAATGAATGAGTAATTAACGTTGCATGAGCTTGAGAAAAAGATCTGGCAAGATGTCCAGAAGAGAAGAATGGATGAGTAATTGACTTTGCGCAGGTTTGAGAAAAGGTCTGGCAAGATGGGTGAGAAATTGACGCTGCATGAGCTTGAGAAAAGACCTGGCAAGCGACTTGTGTGATTGATTGGCATAAGCTTGAAAATGGGTCAAGAAAGACGTCTGGAAAATAAAAGACTCGTATAATGGACTATGTATGGATCTGAGAGAAAGACTGACAGGCTGGGAAACATATGAGTATTTGGAAACAGGTCTGACAAGGTGTCTGAAAGAGAGATGCACAAGGGATGAACTGGGCAGCATGCATGAAAAAAAGTTAAAAATAAGCAAGGAACAAAAAAGGACAAAAAGTGATATGAATGCAAAATTGGCAGGACCTGAGGAGAGTCGGCGAAAGGACCCTGGGGAGATGCATGTGGATTTGGCAAGGCCTGAGCATCGGGGAATGGTAAAGGGAAAACATGGATTGCACGGGCCGAAAAGTAGATTATTTTTTATAAGAGTAATGAATGAGGCGAGACCAAAATGGTTTCTGCTCGAGAATGCTTCCTCGATGAAATGGGAAGACAAATTTGAGATTACGAAGCATTTAAGGGGAGTTGTATCTGGGCTCACCGATTCGAAGTGGGTATCACCACGGCAAAGACGACGGTTGTACTGGACAAACATCTCCCTTCCGGAGCAAATGCCTGACATTGAGTCGCATCCAAAAACTTGCTTACAATTTGTTATCAACAAAGTCAAGGCATAAAATGAGAAAACCAATTGTGTTATGACAAGAAATTGTCATCTGGGGAATAAAGCCAGCATACCAGTAGTTAAGTGCATGAAGCAAGGAGAGCTCCGTCTGCCCCATGTTACTGAAGTTAAAAGAATTATGGGTTGCCCTGTTAGGTATACAAAATTGACTAAAGAGGTAGTTCGCATCTCAATTGAGGGAAAGATAAAGAGGCAGAGCTATGATAAAAATGAGCAACCTGGTCCAAGCTGTAGAACCTTCGACTCCCCCATACCCTCCTCCACCCCAAGGGGCAGAAGCTAAGAAAAACATTGAGAAAGGAATAGGAAAAGAACAAAACGGACCTTGGCAAACTAACCACCCATAACACCTCACCCTCCTCTCCCGTTCATCCCTCCAAAACCCACCAACAAGAGATTGGTGCGCGATGAGGACATCGCGAATGAGTGGGGGGAATGTGTCGGGACTGGTGGGTCCCGAATAACTTCCCAGCACTCGAGAGATAGAATACGGATAATTTGTGCGCAACAGAGAAATCTGGAGTGAGGAAGCAGGAGAGAGAAAAGACAAAGGATTAGGCCGCAGAAGGGAGTGATGCCCTGAGGAGAGAACCACAAGAGGAAAGAACTAGCGGCGGCAAGCAAGCGAGCGCAAGAACAGGGGCACATAGAACATAGCAGGAGGCCGGGAGGGTCATCGGAATGCAATAAGACTAAGGCCAAAGGGCCCTTTGAACTAGCAATTGCAGCGCGACAGCAATAAGGGAATGAGGAAGTCGAGGAATAGGCAGCCAGAAGCCGCGAGAAGGCAGGAAATGAGGGCCAACACGTAGGCCACCTACGAGAGCCTCGGAGCGGAGGCCCACGGTCAAAGAGATCGGTACACACAAGGCGCGAGGAAAGACTAAGGAGAGGGGTCGCTGTGGGGCGACAAGACGCCTAAGGAGCATGAGATACCTCGAGGAAAGGCACCCGGGGCCACGTGGGACTAAGTAAAAATAATGGCGTACGGGGCGAAATGTGTCCGGGACCGCCGACAGGTTAATGTGTCGGGGACCACCGACGAGACTAAGTGTCGGGGACCGCCGACGGGACTAAGTGTCGGGGACCGCCGACGGGACTAAGTGTCGGGGACAACCAACGCGACAAGTAGCGGGGACATGTGAAAGTCCCAAGAAGAAACGGCGGCACCGCATGAGGGGAAAATAATAAATGCAAGGGGCACCGTCAAGATCGACATCTTGACGGCCAAGAATATTAGCACCACTAGTACACCACTAGTGCAAGTACTGGTGGTGACAAACGGGAAGGCCAAAAGGAAAAGGAAAAGTAAAGAAAACTGAAGTGGGAGGCATGGGAGTAATCCGAAAAATCTTGGATCAGCCTCCCTCAAGAAAATAGAGTCAAATAGGACCCCATGTGAAAAATAGCCCTCCGGGAGAAAATCG